GGGGATGATGGTTGTGGTCTTAAAGCAGGTAGGAATGATGCTCTGGCTGAGGGAGAGATTGAAGATGGTGGTGAGGACATCAGCCAGTTTGTTAGCACATGCTCTCAGAGCCCGCCCAGGGATGTTGTCTTGTCCTGCTGCCTTGCGGGGGTTGATCTTCCTCAGGACTGTGCGTACCTGGTCTGGTGAGAGTTAATGGAGGGGTGGTTTGGGTGGTCTCGGTGTGTGTGCCTCCTCTCTGTGCTGTGGTTGGAGGTCTCAAAGCGGGTGTAGAAGGTGTTGAGGTCATCTGGGAGGCTGTCTGTGGAGCTGATGATGCTGGTGGTGGTCCTGTAGTCTGTGATGTGCTGCAGGCCTTGCCCCATCCTCCCAGAGTCAGCAGTAGAATAGAAGCCACTCAGCTTCTTTCTGTACTGCTTCTTTCTGTACTGCCTCTTGGCCGCTTTGATGGCTTTCCTCAGTCTGTACTTCGCAGCTTTGTACTCCGTCTCATTGCCTGAACTGAATGCAAGACAGCAATCATGCCGCATGCAAGTAAGTGGTAAAGCATATTTTTGAGGTGAGGGTTAGACACCGCATTTTTAGGTTTGGTCCTTGATTCTACCACATACTATATATGAACGAAAGTCACTTTTGGCTTTTCCCGTTTAGGTCGCCACAGCGAATCGTCACACTGATGACTCACATGTTGACATTTGGCATGTGTTTTACGTCAGATGCCCTTCCTGACGCAACCTGGATTCGAATTCGTGGCGCCACGGCGAGAGCGCTGCGCCTTAACCACTAGCCTACCAGGGACGGCTTACCACATACTATATACTGTATATATATATATAGTAAGGCATACTGTATATTTGAGTTGAGGGTTGGACCCCGATTTTACCATATACTATAGAAAGGCATATTTTTGAGGTGAGGATCAGACCCCAATTTTAGGTGAAGTTTGTATTCCTCTTTTTTGCTACTGGTGACATCTGTATTATCAGAGACACCACAGAGTGTAAACTAAACAGCAAACATCAACAGCAGGTTCAACAAAGGATTCGTATGGCCAGGAAGCTTCATGAATCTGACCCTTCAGTAAACATGGTTTTCTACAGATCCTCTGGTTGTGAACCGGGGTATGCTTGAGGTAAAGGTGAGGGATGATGACTCAAACAAATCCAAGTAGTGATGCACATTTTCAGTTCTGGAAGATATGTATAGTGTTGTACTAGTGTCTACACAAAAAATGATGGAAGTAGTGAAGGCAGCAAGGTGAGAGACAAATATCTCTGTGAAGGTTAGAAAAGTAGAAAACACTGTATATTTGTAAGTCCTGTTTCTGTAGGTCAAAGAACTGTTAGCCAGGTCTGTTTTTCATTGGGACTTTTATCAGTTTATCTCAGGTCACCATGGTCTGCTTTGTTTTGGAAGTTATTATGGCATGTTACACATTTTAAGGCATTTTCTCTCAGCTTGTCACATTCCATCTTCAAGGCTGTTTAGAAGAGACCAAACATGGAGGAGCAGTGGGAGAAGGTTTTCAAGGGTCAGTGCCGTTCTTGCACAACAAAGAGTTCACTGACCCTGTGTGTATCTGTGCTGATACAGATACACACAGCTTTTAGGGGAAAACATAATGTCCAAGACACAGAATAACACCCTACATCCATGACAAGAAACAATCTAGAGGGAGGTTGTTTTTTTTTCCCTACTTATCAGAAAAGAGCAGTTTATGTTTCTGGCTCTAGTTGCGATCTATAGCAAATGTTTTGTTTCACAACCTTACAGAAACTTAGTTGTGAAAAAATATTTCTTGGAAGAGATTTTCTGTTTTGAACATAGAAAACATTACAGCGCCTAATATTTACATATGGATTTAATAAAATGCAAAATAAAAACAATCCTTCAGGATGAATCATGTGCTGAAACTGAGCACTGAGCTGTCTGACACTATGAAGGCCCCGGGAGGCCAGGGCAAATAGCCTCAAATTTGTTCCAAGACGCCCACTGATTTCAAATGTTTTTGACTTGTGACTCTTTATTTATTGCACACAGAATTTGAAAAACAAAGGAAAAAATTGCTACTTTTTATAAAGTCATCCTTTGTTTATAAGTTGTATCTAACAGAGTCATGATTCCTGCTTCCACCCGTATGCTCACAGCATTTCTCTGGTGGAGTTTTCTAGTCCCTGCCATTCTTCATCCACTCACCAGATGCCCCCGAGACCTTCCCTCAAATTGTAGTCACCTATTTGTCTCACTCACATCTGTCCCCAGGATCCCATTATGCCCATAAGTCTGTATTTAACCTTGCCAGTTCCACCTGCTCATTGACATGAGCTGTGGACTCCAGCTCAAGCCACTAGTAAATACAAATGGAAAAATAATTTTTTTGCCTTATGATAACATATCAAGTCTGCAGTTATAAGAAGCTATTAAAAGAATAGTTCAATATTTTTGAGAAATACACTTACATGTTTTCTTTTCATGAGTTAGATGAGAAGATCAGTCACTCATACTGTTTATCTCCAAGTTCAGTGGAGAGCTAAACCTGGAAGGTGATTAGCCTAGCTTAGACATAAGACTAATTAAGCATAAAAACAGAAAGAAACAGCTCTGTCCAAAGCTCAAAACTATGCCTACCTGCAGCGCTAATGGTCATATCTTGTAAGTTTAATCTGTACAAAAATAGAGAACAACTCTCTTTCATAACACACAGGAACTATTTCCTGTTGGACAATAGTTTATCCATACACTCAGTACTTTGTGCAGTGGCTCCACTGCTTGGCTAGTAACCTCACTGTTGCTCTTGAAGTGAAGTCTCTGTACTCGGCATAGAAACAGTTCCCCAAGCAGTGGGAGAGACGGATGTACTGAACAGGTTTCTATCCAGCTGTACCGCAAATTTTAACAGAATTGCTCCATACAGAGCTGCTTTGGTCTGATGCTATTTTATATCTCATCAGTGGATATTTAAGTGATATGATTGTGTACTGCATGATTCATTGCCAAGTCTGTTTCCTTTGCCCTTATTGCATTTTGCTTTTATCTGTACAGCTCCATTTTTGATGTGCAAATTTGTCAGTTGTGGTTTAACATAACAGTACAGTGTTAACTAACCCTTTCTACCTGCAAAGCTACAGCATATAGTTCAAACCAATGATTTATTAAACATTAAATAAGCCTTTAGTAAGTACAGCTTATTTACCCTTCATAAACATTGGCTTTTTAGAAAGTTGAATTAATAAGCTGTTGTAACTGAGTGATGGAGATGTCTTCTTTTTTTCATTTCCTATATTACTCATCATCTTGCCTCATCTAACACTTAATTTTGCGACCGGTTTGGAAACATGTTTTGCAGGAGACCACAGGTTCTTTATTTTCATGACGTCAGTTTGTTCTCAGGCACATGATGCAAACATAATACATGTTTGAAGTTCAGGTGCAAGTTCACCACTTGTTTGACACTCACACACAAAATTGCACTCATTTAAACATGGATACAAACAGTACTACACAAAGAGGCATGCATATAAACGCTTTTTGGCAACATGGTTGTGTTTTTCCTCCCACGCTCCAGCATCTAGATTACAGTAAATGATGTTATCACACACACAGAGTCACTGTTTATGACGTATGAGGGAGTGGGCCAGTGAAACGGCAGTTAACCCTGCAGAGTGTCCTGGTCAGCTGCATTACCTCCTTGATCTCTGTTCGCCAGCATCTGACTCAGGCTGCTGAGAGACATTGCACCACTTCTGTAAATAAGGCCTGAAAAAGGCCCATTTCCACTCTCTTATCTCAGAGTGAGATAAGCTCGGCATGTTTGATCATATCAGAGAGTCCGGCAGGTGGCAAACACACACACTGTTGTAGGCTTCTTGGTTAACAACTCAAAGAGGAGTATTGACATCCTCTATAGCAGTTGCACACAATCAGCATGAATCACAAAGTTAACCCAGGAAGGAGTGGGAGTTTATTGGTTGACCATTTACTCGTTGAAAAACATGA